TACAATCGCCGCAACTGAAAATGGTACCACCCATTGCTTACAACGGGAATAATAGAGCACCAATTATTTACCCACGAAAGGCTTTAATGGGTCAATGTTTTTTCTTCTTCTCTTCAGGCGATGTTTGACCAGTATCACTGATGAGTGGCATGTGGAAGTAAACCCGAGCACCACGAGAATGCACGCTGATGAGGGATGACGCTGCCATCTCCTGGTCACCTCAGGTGCTGTTGGCACCGTAAAACACGATTAATTGCTGCTGTACGAGTTTACACACGCTATGTAAATATTGCCCTTGGCGCAGGACTGACAAGTAGAGATGGGCCCTGCCAAGCACCTTGCCTTTCCAATATATAATCAATAATCTGCGTTCGCACACGTTCAATGCACTGTTACAGCACTGATCGTTAATATAAAACGAAAGCGATGACTTACATAGTCTGATGGGAACGATTTGGCTTCCAGCATGATCTTGTATCGCTGTGCAGTGGGCTTGTAAAATGCCAGCTGAAAGGTACAAACGTGAAAACACACACAATATAAGAGAAGGCTAATGCCTCCATCGTGACCTTATAGATGGTCGGAGCGAGCACTGCTGGCAAGTGTTCGTTAGGTTCTGCGCAACACAGGAGGCTGTAGTGGATCCGCCACCATAACCAGCAGCGCTGCATTTGACTTCCTAGTGCTAATGTTAACACATGGGACCAGCTACTCACAGCACTAAAGCGCACTGCACCGAGGACAAAAAAACTCTCCCAATTCTCACTCATGCTCTGTTAATGGCCCAAACATCTGGAATCCATCACTTCAAGTAGACACACAGAGACCCATAGACTTGCACAGATACCCATAAACTCAGTGTAGACTCAGGGGGCATATTTCGCTGTTAATGTTCCAAACACTTGGAAATCTATCGCTTCACAAATGTTCATGGTCACTCTGACATCTAAATCACGACTTAATGCTGAGCTCTCATTTCGCTGATAACCTCACTTGCAATTGCATTTCACAAATAATCCTATTCCATTTACATATTAGTATAGTAGTTTCAAAACTTTATTAAATTATGCTATGATCAATCGAAAAATTATTTACCCGAACCAATTTACGCTACGGAAGTTGTTTTTTGACATTGATTTAAGTTCGTGAGATTTTTCTGATTTTACATGTAACAGTTGTTTGCTTTATTGCTATGCTGTTTTGCTTTTTTATTTCGGTGGCCCAGGTCACTCTTGCAAATAAGGCAATCCTGGTCTCTTGAGTTCTCACCTGGTTAAAACAAATAAACCACTAATTTTAGTCCATCTCCTACTTGTGTGGTACATTGCCTGGAATAGTACAAGGTCACTTCGTATAGCGCTAGCAACTAAGACACTTCCCTTCACAAACACACAAAGATAGCTATCAGCGTTGTTCATATAAATATTATGCATTACTTTATGGAGCGTCACTAATCCAATTTGCAGCGCTGCACAATTTGTAACGTGTACACAGTTTTCGAACGGAGGCATGGGATGCCAGACACGTGGGAAGGCAGCCAGCAAGGCGCCAACAGCTCTGTGGTCTGCCAATAGGGGGCGATACTTGCTATATCTAAATGGATTTTAACACGGAGGCTTTCACGACCAATATTATCCATAAGAGTTTTTTTGGGTTAGATTGCGTAAATGTGTCGGGTGGTGGCGGGTTTATCGACACGTTTATTTTTACGCGATGTCACGCAAAAAGCTCCCCAATGGATTTGTGGGTAATTTCTAATTTAGCAAATATGAATCATGACACCTGATTAAATGCCCTACGTTTGCCAAAGATGTCACGCTATATTTAACCTCAGCTCTAATGCAGATGGTGTATATTTTATTATTAACACACCTGCAGTAATAACCAGGCGGTTAATGGATTAAAACCTTGAACCTCGGCAAGAAGCGGTGAACGCGCCGATGCTAGGCCATTTCACCGCCCCAAAAACCAATAAATTCTCACTCACAAACCACCTTAAAACCCTGAACCAGTGCAGCTCTTACCATCAGAAGATGCAGGTTAATGGACAGGCCATTCATCACCGCCACCTCATGGGCCTCCGCTCCTGAATGTCACCGCATCCAACTGTTAGTGTTGCGAGTTTACATATGCGCATTTCAGAACCGCAGATAACAGCCGTTTTTGCAGCAGTTGCCACCAAAATCCGTGAGATTCACACGTGGCCGGTGATTACCGGCCCTTCCAGTTACCTGCATGACGACTAAAGTGGCCGCGGCTTCCGTTTGGGAATTCGCACGCCCAGCCGATTCACTTTCCTCTCGCCACCGCCTCCACGTGTGTGCAAAAGTCTTGGCTGCTCAGAGCTCGAGCGAGACTTTACAACATATTTTGATGGCGCTATGGAGTAGGGTTGCATATGCACGGTAAGAAACGAGTGTGCCCCATTGCCGTGCCACCCTTGGGGGTGGCAACGCGATCTTGGTGCATATTCAATGGAACCTACGAGTAAGGCATGAGAGAACTGATTGCATTTTCAAACTTGGCCAGATACAAAGCGACGCTTTATGAATGTATTCACAAGGCATTGCTGCAAAGCTGAGCTCTTCAGCCAACAGCCAATCACACCCTGGGTTGGCTGTGATGTCATCAAGTCTCCCGCGCCATGTGTCAGGTCTGCTATCCGTGCATGATTGACTAACGAGCAACATGCAGAGGGGCTTCTCGTGCTGTTGGCTACTGCTGAGCATGGATGTGAATATGGTGCTCAGCCGCAGCTGATAAACGTGGCCAGGACTGTTTGGATTTGTATTTTGTGGGATGTCCTGTGATTCGCACCCCAAGTGTACAGCATCCTATCCCACGTGCTCGCCATTACACACCAGTAGCTCCAAAACAGTAAAACGTACGAGATCGCTTAAAGCATCTCAACAATGTAACATACAATGTTGGTTTTGTTAGCGGTCACAAGTGCATGCATGCTATATTGTGCATTATACATTGAACAAGAAATTATCAAACCTCAATGAGCCAAGGCAAATTTCTGTAAAATGTAAAGTTGTGAGCCATGTAATGCATTCTCATACCTACGAGTGTGGCCATGTTGGCAGTGAGAGTCTCATCGCACACAGCCCAGGGCCTGGCACCTTCATGGTGTCCATACACCCCCCTGTAAGGCAGCACACAACGGCATCGTGAAACTCTAAATATTGCAATTGGGAAAGAAGCCGAATAGTTATGGAATTTTCAGACAAGTACTCGTGGGAGCAATATTGGACTCTAAACCCCAGGGAAAAACAGCTGATGTACACCACAGAAATGCGAATGACAAGATGATTATCAGATATCACCCGACTTAGACGGGGTCAGAAACTAAGAGATGAGGGAAGAAGGCGAAAGTTGGACCCATCTCAGAGAAGCTGAAAGAAATGCCACTCCGACAGCTCAGACATGTCATAAGAAAATAGAAAAATAACTTCAGAACAAAGGTGATTAAAATGGAAGCACAGTGTATGTTACACTTCTTTCGCACTGCATGTCGCCAACCGTGCTAATCAGAGGTGCGGGGAAAGGACAACGAACTAACAGAGTTATTCTATGTAACTCTGTGGATCTCTATGCAACTCTATGAGTCTCTATGTAACTATATCGATCGCTATGTAACTCTATACTAATGTACATCTGTGAAAAAGAGCTTCATAGCCCATCAGATTTCTCAAGGACAAAAACAGATGATTGTCGACAACAAGTTACATAGATCTCAATGTAACTCTATAAGTGACTCCCATTCGAGGGACTCCCATTGCACTAAGGTGACGACTGAGAGGCGAGCATAGAAAGAGGTGGCACTAAGTGCTGAACCAGGATATAGAGGAATGTGGAATAAAGATGAATGTGATGGCCCAAGAAAGGAACAGATGGAGAACGGGGGGGGGGGGGGATGGGAGAGCCCCCACTTGGATGAATAACGGCAGGAAGAAGACTAGACTCACGTGGTGGCCCATTTGTGCAGCTCCTCCTCCAAAATAGTGCGGACAGCACGCGGCATCAGCCCCAGTGAGTTCCCCGCCAGGTACAAGCAGTCCTGGTCCGCGTCTCCCTCCAGCAGTGACTTGTCCACTAGCACGGCGGAACACAAGTACCTTTTTGTAGCAATTATATTTTTTTTGATTGACGCTTAATTATTTAATGCAGGGGTGGGGAAACGTTCCTTTACCAAGGGTTAAAGGGGACTTTAAAATCCCTTTGGCAGGGCCAGGCATGAACGCGCACCTGAGCGTCATGCAATGACCCAAACAATGTTGTGCATGACGAACAAGTGTAAAGAGAAGTGACAAAGCATGCTGATTTCCTAAACGTGGGGTTGCCAAGTTGAAAGAATTCCCCTTTTATATCAGATCATTAGAGCTAAGGTGCTTGCAGTGTCAGATAAATTCCGTTTGCGGGTCGTTTCAATGTGCTCGGCCTTATGCGGCAGTGGGCCACTCCTGATTTAGTGAAAGATGCTTACAGATGTCCCCGTCTAATTGACAGGGTTAATATTAATATTACGCATGTAACGAGTCATCGATCAAAACCAATCCGTAGACTCACTGCATATGCATTGGATTGTGTGTGTGTGCGAGACCTGCTGATTTACAATTCATGCAAATCATTTGAAAATTATATGCCTTACCATTTAATGCGAACTGTACATACGAGTCAAAACGAGAAAGAATAGTAAATAGGCCAGTCAAAGAGACAGAATAATCCAAACATTAACTGAATCGCGATCCTGAATCTTGATAATTTATCATATTTGTTTGTTGCCGCATCTGTACCAAAGTTGACAAAAAAAAGTCAGTTTCCCTGCTATAGTATGGTGTAACGTTCGTCTCTTTTAGTGACAGTGATGCAATGGTACAAAGTCCACACTGTTACGACATTGCCTCTGTTTGACTTTTTCCGCTACGGACTTCCCCAAGCAGGCGAGACTAACTTTATTGACCCTCCCCCTAAAAGAGGTGAAGGACACGACAGGATTATAAGGCACACAGCCAAAGCATTTGGCATTGCAGGTAGGTGACGAACCGAGCACCTTGCAGGGATTGCCCCGTCTCACCGGCGGACAGGTCGCGCATACGGGGCACGTGGAAGGATTCGCGGAAGCCACGGAGGGAGTCCGTCGCGTCCAGATGCTCGGCGAGACGGCGCGAGGTCACAGGGCAGGCCAGCGTGGTCGCCATGCGTTGCAGTTTCGTCGCCGGATGCCCTTCATCCCACTGCTTGGGCTGCTGCTGCTGCTGCTGCTGCTTCTGCATACCTATAGAGTTACAAAGATAAATAGCATCCCGAAAGCCTTAACAGACTGCTGGGGCATAGTGCTGTTGGCGTGCATCGATGAATGTCGGAACGGCACACGAGGGGTTTAGTTGGACAGCACCACGCCCAGCTCTTGACTTAAAGCTTTCGTGACTGCAGGAATTCATATTATTTGGGTCTTTCGGTAAAGTCACGTAGATAGGCTCAAAGAAAATAACAAAAAAAACTACGACTTTTAGATCGCAACACAAGCGGTCGTCGATTTCCTGATTTTCCTGATGACGACCACTTGTGCTGCGATCGAAACGTCGTAGTTTTTTTGTTATTTTCTTTTAACCGATCTACGTGACCTTACCGAAAGAGCCAAAGAATATAACCAAATATATGCCGAGTACAACCGAAACTTAACTTTGAGAAATGCCTATAAAGCCAATTACCGTCTATGCGCACTTCTCGGTACATGTATGGGCGTGCTATACAATCTTCAATTATGCAACCCCTTTAAAAGCGAATTCCTTTGTGGAATGTGATGACTCTGCGATCCTCTCTCTACACCATAAGGCAAGACAATTCAGAACTAGTTTTAAACAATACACGTGACCTGCACACGATTTCGACAACACGTGGTATTTGCATGTTAAACAATGTGTTGTTCATTACGAGGTTGATACGTTTACTCCAAACGCTTGCTTACATGGAACCGAACGACGTTATGACAACATGTTGCCTTCACGCACGAATCGTTATGCTGTTCAGAACTTTAGTTTACAACAATAGTCCCAGCGTTGATTAACGTGAGACAAACACAACGGGGGAACATTTGAACAAAAACAAAAGAGGTGACTCTCACCGTCATTGTAGTTTTATTTCAACAAATATTAAACATGAACTAGTACACACTGGATTATGGTGAGCTCAACGCTTTGGTACGTTTAAAAGAGAAGTCTATCCGAGAACACCATCTGCATTGGGTGAGACATTCATCTCAACACGCCATTGTTGCACAAAGAAGTGCATTACATCGAATTGCATTCATAATTAGCCCCCCTCCTCCCCACCCCAACAACGCCCACAAATAAAACATACACACAGCAACATGCTATTTGAACAAAAGAGTCAGCAACGACGGTTACCTGGAGCCGTGTCTTACTCAAAACACCAAACAACTGACCCACGGCAGTGTATGATTACCGGTGGGTTCCCAAAGCGTGGCTTGGGAAACAACGCTGTGTGACGGTGACCCGATTGGCTGTCATAAATCCGCCCCTCCGACCGAGTATTTGCCGTCCAGAATCCACGCCCGTTCCAACCAGTTCATCCATTTGCGGTGAACATGCGCGTGGGTGGTGGTGGGGTGTGGGTGGTGGTGGTGGTGGGGTGTGGGTGGTGGTGGTGGTGGTGGGGTGTGGGTGGTGGTGGTGGTGGGGTGTGGTTGGTGGTGGGGTGTGGGTGGTGGTGGTGGTGGTGGTGGGGTGTGGATGGTGGTGGTGGGGTGTGGGTGGTGGTGGTGGTGGGGTGTGGATGGTGGTGGTGGGGTGTGGGTGGTGGTGGTGGTGGTGGGGTGTGGGTGGTGGTGGTGGTGGTGGGGTGTGGGTGGTGGTGGTGGTGGTGGGGTGTGGGTGGTGGTGGTGGTGGGGTGTGGGTGGTGGTGGTGGTGGGGTGTGGGTGGTGGTGGTGGGGTGTGGGTGGTGGTGGTGGTGGGGTGTGTGTGTGTGTGTTTTACGCGGATCGATCCAACGCCAACATCTCACGAGGGGAACAAACATTTTCGTCAGGAATGTGCCGACGTAAAACTTGAAAGTGCACACTTGCAAACGCGAGGGCATTGCACAGGGTCAAGTAAAAAAAAAAGTCTTGAACCACTCTTAAGCCACCCGGTAGTTCAGCTTTTTTGTTGGTCAGGATTTGATCAATACGTCGGCACGTATAAATGATATCTTTGTAAACGGGAAAAAAATCGTGTTGGGTAGTGGAGAGGCCATGAAAATAATTTGGCACAAAACTACGACATGGCACAATCCAAAACAAACATGGGTTATTACAGAACTCCCCTAATCCATGGTGATATGGGGGGCCAATACCGTGTATCCTATTATCCGTGAGGTTATTAGCGATTTTCCTCCACTTATCTGCAACAAAAATTGGCAGATTTTTTGGAAACCGTTCCAAAATACAGGAATGGAAAAAATCCGTGGATAATGACAGTTTCTGTGGACCCTACAGCCCCCCGCGGAAAACTTGAGTCGCGGATTCCAGTACAGAATCGCGGATAACAGGAGTTTTCTTAACTTTATTTTGGCGTTGCAGCCATTTTCATTACTGCATAGTACAAGACAACAAATGTTTCTGGCATTAGAGATGATCGACATCAAAGCTCACACTCTAGCAGACCTTTCAATCCAAAGTTAACGTCCTACAACACACTAGTTTAATAGCAAAACTTATCGCCATTCCCTTTGGTTATTCATTGGGTAGGATTTGCATTACCTTCATTACACAAGGCTGAACAGATTGTTTCAACAATTTACAGTTGCATATTACCGAATTATCTGGAAGTTAAGCCCTAGGGCTGAGCGTGGACAGTGTTTGTAAATAAATAAATAAACTGCCGTCTTCAGTTGCTGCAGGACTGCATTCGCAGCAAAGGGCAACGGAGAATGTTTTTACTGGTAGGAACCTGGTTACACCAGCCCACAGGGGATTATTGTGTCCGTCGTGCAGGGAGGGGCTGGATGGGGAGGGGCTGGGTGGGGAGGGGCTGGGTGGGGAGGGGCTGGGTGGGGTGGGGCTGGGAGGGGAGGGGTGGGGCTGGTTGGGGAGGGGCTGGTCACCCCGTGGTGCCCTTATAAAACTCAATGTTTAACCTACTCACGCCGGCTTGTGCTCACCCTCACAGTCGGGCATATTTGCAAAATACACCACGCCGCCGTTGACCCTGGCCATTGACCGAGCAACCCAACGTTCCTACCAGCTCCCTCCGCAGGAATCTGTTTGTTGTACAGTACTGTACTATGTTCCAACGTCCATTCTCTCAGCCTTCACTATCCCGCAATGGCCAGCGTGTTGGAGGTCAAATAACTCCACAAGACCCGCACGGAGGTGGAGAAGCGCTCCATACAACAGTGGGTTGACAAAAGGCCTCCACTGCACGTGCACATATAGATCATTTACAGCTCTTCAAAACAGTTACTTAGGAGATCCAGACCCAACTGCTGCACGGTAAGTTTGTTATGTTGTAGTAATGACATCCATGTGTCGGCCCGGATTGCGGAGTTAACTGAGGGTCATAACGCTGACCCAATAGAGGGCGGGCGATGGTTTTACAATCTATTGTTGTTACGAAACATGATTTGGTGATGCTGGTTCGTTGGCAGTGGTGCACAAACACAAACGACAAAAACTCACAGTCGTCAATAACACTGACTTCAATGGAAAAATGTATTCGGCAGCTTTAGGAAACGACCCTTCCTCATAGCACATTACTAAATATACTGAGGTCCTGACATTAAATGTGTCCTTGGCTTGATTTGAAGCTTTCGTGACTGCAGGAAGAAAATAAATCACGACGTTTCGGGCGCAACACAAGCTAGTGTTGCGCCCGAAACGTCGTGATTTATTTGATTTTATACCTACGTGACTTTACCGAAAGAACCAAAGAGTATGTTCTTGGCTGTCGTAACGATACCATTACTGCCCTACGACATTGCAATGGTCATCTGCTGACCTTCCTCTTTTCCTCGTGACTCACTATTTAAGTTTATAACAATACAACGTTGACGCCTCCTTACCTGTACGCCCCGTCTCCAGATGCTGTGGCATTTGTACGCTGCGTGTACATGTTACAACCCGTTTTTTTATTGTGGAATCAACTGCTGGATGAGGACCTCAAAATAGCCTACTTGACCATAACTTCACCAAACCGGTCAGTGCGGGTTTGAAAGGCGGAGTACAGAACGATAGATTTTTAAGCACTTTCTCCCCAATGCGGCGTGACATCCGTCTGACGGTGGTGCGCGCACATCCGCACAATATCCAAGGCTCCAGTCGTGTCGTAAGCTCTCCGAGCTGAAGTTGGAGATTGATGAAGTTGGAGATTTAATCTCCAAACTTTCAATAAATCGGTGACAGCGCTACGTCGGCAGTGGGGCACAAGTACAATTAACGAAACAAACTTAACACACCGTTCAAGTCAATAACGCAGAGTTATTGGACGCTTAATTGGCTGTGTCGGGTGGTGGCGGGTTTAACGACACATTTATATTTATGCAATATCTAAGGCAAAAAACCTCTATGGACAATATTGATCGCGAATGCCGACATGTTAATCTGGGCACATTTATTAACTTATTTTCAGTAATTTCCAATTTGGATTTTAAAATAATAATAATTATATGCACCCGAGATTCCTAATGTGGCAGACAAAGCGAACCCCCCCAAATATAGAAGTCAAACTCCGCCTTATGGACTCATTGACGAATAAATTGGTGAGTTTTTTTTAAAAATCAACCTCAGACGCGATACGTCCAAATTGTCTTGCATTTCTGGAGCAGTGACACGGTTTTTTAGCAACTAAAAGTGTTTATGTACATTCGTGTTACGTGTGTATAGACCAGCATTGCGTTACCGACAATCCGTGTAATCCCAACGCTCACGTTTAATGATCTTTATTCTAGTTTGGCATTCCCCTTCCACGGGTGCAAATACTCTTTTGTTGACTGCCCTCAAGGCACAGGTGCAAATACTCTTTTGTTGACTGCCCTCAAATAATGGTTGTGATTAAAGCATTGTCTTTTACAATGTGTAATGTTCCCAACGTATTTGGCCTGATGTACTTCCTCATTTAGTCGTCAGCCATGTTCTGTCCACTGGTAGATGAAGGAATCCAATGTTTTCCGTGGATGTGTGATCCGTTTCTCGTATATACATCACACTAAATAAAATAAGTTAATTGTATTATGTATGAGTTCACTGATGTATAACATTCCGCGAATGAAGGCTCCGAGTTTGACCATACCTCACGGGACTCAGTTGCTTGTGTTGCGATCGAAACGTCGTGATATATTTTTATAATTTTTTCTATCTACGTGGCTTTACCGAAAGACCCAAAGAACATGAATTCCTGCCTCCACGAAAGCTTTAAGTCAAGTGATAATACAGCCATTGTATTACAAACACGAGTACTGTAGTGCATTTTAGTGTCTTAGAACTATACCGGTTATGTAATCCTCAATAATTGGTCGCAGATGTGGGTAGTGGACACAGTGGTACGTGTAGAGCGCTATGATTAACCCATGCATCTCAGATGATAGAGAAACATTGAGTCGAAAGCAGATAAAAAAAAATATATATACCGTTTTATCAGGATTATAAGACGCACTCATAACCTGTGCCCGGTGTGTATAAACGTTATACAGATCTGGGCACACACAAGCACCTACCAGATTATTACACAGAAGACAAACCTTTACTTTGAAATACAGGAAAACAGGGGGCATGCATATACCTTATTCGGAGAATACGGTCATCCAAAAAGCTAACACTGCTACAGTATGAGAGATACATGCTAAGGACGTGCCCTGGTGTGCCCACCACTTAATTTTAACTTCGATAAAGAGGAAATGAATCACAGCAATTCCCTAGACATGTAAATTTTAAACAGCGCAGTGACACCAGTAGTGTGCGTCACTGAAGTTAACAGGATGTGGCCAACGGTTAAGAAGAAGTTTGTTTTTTGGCTCCGTCTGATCGTTTAACTGCTTTGTGACTTGAACCTGATTATACCACACGGTTCCTCAGTTCCGTTCTCGGCCAGCATGGCTCAGTACTCAAACGTGAACCTCGTCCTCCTGGGGCCCAGCGCCTTCACGAAACCCACAGTGAACCCCAGCAATCAACCCCACGCACCGCAAACATCGCACATGGGCACCTTGTATTAATCCAGCAGTGAGTTGACAAAAAGCTGCACATGTTTGCGATTAATGTGTCATATATAGAGGACTGTAATGTGGGTTGGTGTTTAAAATATATGGTTAAGGATGAACCGATTTTCATTTGATAGTATCCTGAAAAACCTAATTGATTAACTATTTCCTGATAATAGTTTAACTAATTTTATTTCGGTTAGTTATTTTATAACTCATTGCTTTGAGATTCTACGAGAATATGTTACTGTTATACTGTATATAGCCTCTGACCAAATCACCTCTGACGCAACCTAAGCCCGTCAATTCTCGGAAGATAAGCAGCTTTGAGCCTGGATCGTTACCTACATGGACGACCACCGTGCATTACCGATATCCATAGACTTCGGGGTTACATGCCCATTCGGCAGCTGTGGGCAGTGCAGGGGTGTGGGTGAAGGGGATCCATCGTTGTCCAGTACTATCCCCCAACATCTATGCTTCTCGCCCTGAGCAATCCACACTGGGCCAGCGTGGTAAAGTATGGTCAAAATAACCCCCACCGCGGCCCGTACGACGCGGGGTTGCGTTCATTCAGCAGTGGACTGACACAAAAAAGGCATAGCCTATGATGCAGTGACGCACATGACCTGAAGCACACAAGGAAATTCCTTTCATATTACGGCACTGCATTGGAACGTCACGACTGGACAAACCTCCACTCGGACGAGCTCAGTGGCTGCCAAGATGCTTCACGCTGCTCACACACCTCCCACTCAAAGACCAATGGGGACCATTGCTTGCCTCGTGAACCGGAGGGAGTGTCTCTACTGGGGGGGGGGGGGGGTTGGGTTGGAATGTTTTAAGAGCGTCACGAGATGGATCCGTGAAGTGGTCAGTTCGCGTGAATTATGTGGTTTTGTGAGTTGGTGGGTGTGTGTGTGTGTGTCATAGGGGTGGTGTCTCTATAAAGACCCTAGGAGTCCGGGTTGCTTGCCCAATAGAACGCGTGATCGCCAGCTGGTCAGTCGTCTTACAATCAGGTACGTGGCAAAAAACCGGAGTGACAGCTCACTTTATTTTGTATTGAGGGGCTTAGGAGGAGGAGAAGGGGGGGGGGCTTTGTGTAAAATTAATATAATAATTGGCATGCCAACTACGTGGACTTTTTTTTGGTACGATGTGTCGATGAACATTATGCATTATTTATCGAATTGTTCACAAAATAAATACTACGTAATTGTAACGTTTGTTTTTGGGAGAGGGGGAGGGAGAAATGTATAACTGAACACAAGTGCTACATGTTAATAGTAAATATATATACACAATATTTAAAACTGTCGTGAGAATACAATATAAAAAGTGCTAAACTCATGTAAGGAAAGTGCATTCATCACATACGCGGTACACAAAATCACGGTTATGTAATTGCCGGCTTTTCCATCACGTGACAGTTACAGGGTGCTTGTTTGACCATACTTCACTACATTTGTCATCACGAGTTGGTTATGACGGGGATGGGTACACCCAGACCGGCTCTGATATCACTTGGCAATGGTGTCATTCATGGCCGGGAATTGAAATTAGGTTGCCGAGTTGTATCGCTCATAATAAAGGTTTTTGGGTTAGATCGGGTAAGTATCAACGTGTCGTTAACCGGCCACCACCCCACAGTCAAACTTGAAAGGTTTTCCACGTAAACAAAACATCCCAATTAGTTACTTTTGAGTATTGTGACGTTTTTGCTGGTAATTATCGAGTAGCTACCACTGCACCACCGCTCCCCACAACACCACTCAAAACTAAATTTTCATTTGAAAAAAATCCGTTTTATATTGAGCTGTGAACTTGACCATATAAACTTTTCATGCTTATACATCTTTCATCTGTCATGATTTTGCCATTTTTATAATTTGCTTAAAATTGCAATTTACTTAATTAATACTTATAACACGGCATCTATGTAAATTAGCGTATACACATATATACCACAATATAGACCAACAGAAGGACTGTATATCAGTGGCGGCTCGTCAAAAGAGGGCGCAGGGGCGCCGCCCCCATCAATATTCAAGAAATATACATATACAAAATTTATATAAAAATACATAAATAAAATATTTTTTTCATACGATGTGCCGGCTGGTAGTAAGAAAAGCATCAGCATTTAATAAAAACTGGCTTTAATCGGTCAACTATTTTCTATGTTTTTCAATGTGTTTCATGCGGGGCACCGGACAAATGGATGTCTATGTGAGACTTTAAATTTTCGGACAGCATGTGACCTGAAGCTGGTCTCTAATTGGTTTCTTAAAGATTCTCCTCGGGGCGCAAGTCGTTGCGTCCCTGGCCAATCAGAATTGGATACATGTTATTTTATCCAATCTGATTGGTTCTCGTCACCTGTCATTCAAATTTACGCTCTGGGCCACTACTGCGAGTGCGCAGGCGACACCACTTTGACACTTGCTAGGCTGATCAAATTTTTTGTGTAAACAATGGCAGCAGTTCATCCAAATTCTCTAATTTATTTACAAAAAAACCCTTTCACAAGGCTTTCGCTGGAAGAAATAAAAAAGATAAAGGATCTCGGACAGGACCAACCCGATTTACAAATCCAGCAGCAGGCCAGTGACAGAGGACGAAGCTACACACGAAGCTTCACCCGCGCTTGTTATGAGAAACGGAGGTGGCTGGCTGGATGTGATGTTAGCAATTCTCTTTTTTGTTTACCCTGTCTTTTATTTCAAAGTGTCGGCACTGAAGTTTTGTGGACAACGACGGGGGTAAGAGACCTCAAACATCTCTCTGACAAATGCAAACGTCATGAAAGTAGCCGCAGCCATATTGATAATAGCATGAAACTAACGTTTTTATGTTCAAGTAGGAAACATGCTTTTTGGTACTTTGGTCTGAAATGTATATAAAAGACAAACATTTATGTTCAAGTAGGAAACATGCTTTTTGGTACTTTGGTCTGAAATGTATATAAAAGAGAAACATTTATGTTCAAGTAGGAAACATGCTTTTTGGTACTTCTTTTGTAAATAAAGATCATCAAAATTTATATTCAAGTAGTCAAAATGGTTTTTGGTACTGCTTTATATTTATTTGCCCCCCTCAATAAAATAAAAAAAATGCGCCCCCCCAAAAATAAATATCACCAGCCGCCACTGCTGTATATATACCCATATATTCTATCGAATTACATATAATATTAATGCTGACATGTTTGACATTCCACAGGTGGAATTAAAAGTTCAAAGGATTTATTTCCTCTTGTAGCTTGCAGTTGTTTGTGGCGTGAAGCGAAACTTCAAATGTCCTCGTCAAGTGCTTTGTTTCCACAATTGACTCGAGCAGTTGCGATGCAAGTCTCGGTGTCGGTCATATTTCAGAAACCCGACAGGCAATCCCCGTCTCACCTGCTATGAACCCAGCGACCCGAGTTCGATTCCCGCTCACGACCAACACCGCTGACGATTATCTGATCCGGTCCTGGCCCTCCCTCAGGTCGACTCGGCCTCAAATGAGTACCTTGTGCGGTGTGTTAAAACATCGCCACTAGGGAGACAAAGGCGACTGGGCGTGGTGCTGACCACATACCACCCCTCGCGTGGCGTTCCGGCCTTCATAGGTGCTACTCGCTCACAGCACTTGCTCCTTCAGTCTGTTTCGGTGATACGGGGATATTGTATTTGTTTTTGTTCATACAGATCCTAAAATGTCACCAATCCTGACTCAGAATGAAGGGGAAAACTCCAGTACAGAGTGAGTATTGCTTTCCGCATTTATAAATTATTTCGTTGAAATTTATGAAATTGATTTTATTCTGCCAATTACGCATAATGTACGTCGATTACCATATAAATATGCATTAAATAACCCCCCCCCAACTTCGCACAAGAGTTGTCATCACATCTACGCCTCTATTTAAGGAACGAAACAGGTGAACTTCTCCAGAAATCTGTCTGTCGCCTGATGAAGCTAGTTGTAGTTCCTGTTGAAACGTCGTACTCAGATTGTAAATGTTGTGGTTTGGCTCTCCAACACACCGGTGTGCTGTACTAGTGACGAATTGGCATGTTCTGTTTACGTGACAAACCTTACTAGTTGGCTGTGTCGAGTGGTGGCAGGTTTTGCGACAAATTTATATATTTACAAGATCTAACCCCCAAAAAAAACCTGTATCATGGATTATGATTCTTAATTGGTTGTTGGGTCCGATCGCGCGAGCATAATGCCATCATTATTGTCGTACACCCTCCTCCACCCAACACGGCCAAATATATCAACGTGTCACGTGACCAAAACATGCCAATTGATATTGATTTCAGTAAGTTGAAAGACAATGCATGCGAAATATGACGTAGATACAACGTGTCGTTGGATATTTCAACCTTGTTTGTTCTTGGTCACTTTTACACATCTTGTAAGCAAGCCTTAGTTTATTGCCGAATACCTTCCGAGTAGACTGGAGTCAGCATGTAACGCCAGCCACAGCATATGGAACGTGGCGTTGCCGGTCGCCGAACAATTTTTCTGCTTGGAAGGTCACGGCTAATCAGTGGCGGCTCCTGCAAAATCTCTCAGGGGGGGCAAATGTCTGGATGATTGATAAGGATAAGGTCCACCCATGCAATGGATAAATTAACAGCTTAAGCATGTAAAGGCAACTTCACTTCTTTAATATTAATGAAAAATAAAGTGACTCTTACAATACATCTTGTTTGTTTCTATACTCACTATTAAAACAAACCACTCAAGTTTATTTTATTAAAGATTCCACTAGATTTTGATTTAAAACTTTCGTGACTGCAGGGATTCATCTTCTTGGTTCTTTCGGTAAAGTCACGTAGAAGGGAAGTAATAAAATAATAAAAATAAAACATAATAAAATTATTCTCACGACGTTTCGGCCACAACGCAAGCAGCCGTCCTCAGGTGAAAACCAGGTCCGTCGAGGCGACAGAGTCTGAGTGAAACAGCACACGAGCTTGGAGCATATATATAAGCTGGGCACCTTGACAAAGGAATTTGCATATCAAGAGGAATTTAGCATATTTATGGGAAATGCAGGAATGTGATTAGTACTGCCAATGCATGTGCATTATGCAGGATTAACAGCATCAAAGGGAGCTGCAGTTGCTGCTGCTGCTGCAGTTTCTGCTGCTGCTGCAGTTGCTGCTGCTGCTGCAGTTGCTGCCTTATCCATTTTAATATAACACTATGTATTATTCTACCCACCCTAATGTGTATCACACAGCTATATATTTACTATACAATTACGACACCATACATTACTCTGCACACTGCACCATGCCAGTGAGTGGAACGTTGTGGCCGAAACGTCGTGAGAATAACTTGCGTTGTGGCCGAAACGTCGTGAGAATAATTTTATTATGTTTTATTTTTATTATTTTATTACTTCCCTTCTACGTGACTTTACCGATTCCAAAGAACACAGGATGAGATGTTACTATCCTTTGTGCAAGCACTTCCAAGAGTTCATGAACAGTGAGCCTGGTGAAATTTGGGGAGCGCATCGTCAGTAGTGGTGTTTCGGCCTTTCATACTATACACCCTCTCCAAAGGCGGCCAGCGACAGGGTGATCAATCCTACGCTTGCGTCCCATTCCCAATTAGTCATAGGAGTTGCCTTGTTGTTGATAGCCAACATCCCATGGGACTATGCATGGCAGGGGCGTCCTCCTCCCTGAGTCAAGCATTGTGGACTGCATACCTCCTGGCCCACTCACTTTGGGGCCCAGCTGGGGTCTTTCCTCTTCATCCAGAGCCACTGACTGCTGCCTTCTGCCGCCTCCGATACAGCTCTGATTGCCGAACGCTGGCTCTGGCCCTTAATTCCCAGGTCTCTAAGCAGTCTGGTTGTAGATGTTGCCACAAAACCTCTGCAGCCCACCTCCACTGGTCGGACTTCTGTGTTCCAGCCATGATGCCGTGCTTCGGCAGCTAGATCGGCATAGCGCAGATGTTTTTGCTCATAAGCCTCATCTACTGAGTCCTCCCAGGGTACTGTGAGCTCAATGATGAAGACCTTCTTGAGCGAACTGGACCAGAGCACCATGTCAGGTCTTAGGGTGGTGGTTGCGATCTCCGGAGGAAACACAAGTTGCCGGCCAATGTCAGCTAGCATTTTCCAGTCGCGGGCCAAGCGCAGCTGGTCTCGCTCTATTGGTGTAGAGCCGCTCTTCGGTGGTTTAGCCCCTTCGCGGACAAAGGTCGTCCGTAAGGGGTGTGATGCTGCTGGGGGTGGTAGGGAGTTGGTGGCAGCTCGCTTGTCCTCCAGGGCGGACGCAAGGTTTTTAAGGACTTGGTTGTGACGCCAAGTGTAGCGTCCTTGGGTGAGGCTTGTTTTACACCCTGTGAGAATGTGCCTGAGGTTGGCTGGCATGGAACAGAGGGCACAGTCCGGATCTTCACCATACCATTGGTGAAGATTAACTGGTGTTGGAAGGATGTCATATGTTGCTCTGATGGAAAAGCTCAACCGCCTCGCTTCCATGGCCCACAGATCCTTCCAGCTGATCTTCCTCTTCTCCACACTGTCCCATCGAGTCCACTGTCCTTGTTTGGCAAGAGAGACTGCCTTGGCCCACCTTGCAGCCTCCTCCTGATGGCGTACTTCCTGCACTACCATCTTCCGCCGCTCTGGTGCAGTGGCCTTACTCCAAGCAGCACGGCTAGTTAGCCCAAGGCCTCCTCTCCCTTGCTGAACATGACCCACAATGTCAGCTGGTCTGAGGGCTGCTGTTGCCTCCTGGACTGCTTTTCCTGGCCTCCATTTGCGCCCAGTTGCCAAGGTCGGCGCGTTGTTGCTCACCACTGGGTCTCGAGATTCATTCAGTGTCATCTGGAGCCTGGTTTTTGCACACTTGAATTCCTCGGTTAGACTGGTGAGGGGCAGCTTGAGGACACCATCTCCATAGAGGCCTATGGTGGTAAGGCATCGTGGAACTCCGAGCCACTTCTTTAAGTAGCTCGTGGCTCCTCTTTCCATCTTCTCCACTGTTGAGATTGGAACCTCATACACTGCTAGGGGCCACAACACCCGGGGTAGGAGACCAAACTGCAGACACCAGGCCTTTAACTTTCCAGGTAGCTGGGTGTTGTTGATGGACTGTAGGCTACTACTGATGTCTTTGCGCAGCTGTTGCACCTGGTCTTTGTCCTTCAGGCTTGCATCATACCACCTTCCAAGGCTTTTTACCGGCTGCTCAGACACTGTTGGGATTTGGTCATCTCCGATGAAGAATTTCAGGTCACAGAGTACTCCCTTCACAATCGAGATGCTGCGTGACTTGGATGGTTTAATCTTCATACGGGCCCAGCTGATGTTCTCCTCGAGTTTTCTGAGCAGTCTCCTGGTGCATGGGACAGTGGTGGTCAATGTTGTAATGTCGTCCATGTAGGCTCTGAGTGGAGGGAGGCAAAAACCAGAGTCGACTCGCTGTCCACCAGCAACCCATTTTGAGGATCTGATGATAACCTCCATTGCCATTATGAATGCCAATGGAGAAATGGTACATCCCGCCATTATACCTACATTCAGGCATTGCCATGAGGTGGTGAACTCTGAGGCGGTGAAGCAGAACTGCAGATCCTGAAAGTACGACTTCACCAGGGTTGTGATGGTGTCCGGTATGTGGAAAAATCTGAAGGCAGACCACAGGAGTTCATGGGGCACAGAGCCAAATGCATTGGCGAGGTCGAGGAAGACTACATGGAGGTCCCTTTTCTCCACCTTGGCCATTTGGATCTGGTGCCAGATCATGCTGGAATGTTCCAAGCAGCCAGAGAACCCTGATATTCCTGCCTTCTGTACAGATGTATCGACGTACGCATTCCTTTGCAGGTACTCGGCCATCCTCTGGGCAATGATCCTAAAGAAGATTTTACCCTCGACATTCAGTAAGGAGATTGGGCGGAATTGGCTGATGTTCACTGCATCCTTCTCCTTAGGGATCAGGACCCCGCCTGCCCTACGCCACACTTTGGGTATTATCTTCTTTTGCCAAGCTGTTCTCATAAGCCTCCAGAGGAACCTCAGAACGTCTGGTGCGTTCTTATACACTTTGTACGGGACTCCATTTGGCCCCGGGGCTGATGCTGTTCTTGCCCTTCGAACTGTGTTTTCCACCTCTTTCCATGTCGGAGGGCTGGTCTCAATATGATGTTCCGGGGGTTCAATGGGTGGGATATCTGATGGGATGGCCAGATGTTCATGTCGCTTTGAGTCAAAGTTTGTTGTTCTCAGGTGCTCTTCTAGGTCTTTCTTTGTTGTTTTTAGAACTCCACTTTTTTCCTTCGTGAAGAGACTTTTAAGGAACTTGAAGGGATCTTTATAGAATCGAGTTCTAGTTTGTTCTTTCTTCCTTCTGCGCTTCCGTAGGTTCTCTGCTCTACGGAGGGATGCCAACCGGGTTTTGATGTCAGCCTGAAGTGCCTCTATGCCCTCCTTTTCCACTTCCGAGGCTTTCTTCCACTGTTTCTTAAGCTGTCTCCTTTCTTGAACGAGGCGCTTGATTTCTTGTTGCCTCCTGGACACTGGTGGGGTTGGGACCTTTCTCCCGCCTTTTGCCTCTTGCACTCCAAAGCTTTCTGCCCCGTACTCATAGATGATGTCTCCCATCCTCTCCAACTTCTTCTCCACTGTGCCTCGAAGTTTCTCGAGGGTCAAGGTAAGGTCAGTATTCACTGTTTCCCACAACTTCTTGTCACTGGCGCCAGGCCACTTCACATACGGTCTG